TCGATCACCTCAGGATACCTCACTCCTGTAGGCCTCCCAGGCCTGTCTTCATCCTCAACACTGCTCCGTCCTTCTTTAAACAATTTAGCCCACTTGTAGACATTTTTTTTTTGGCTGAAACATGTGGCACCATACACAGTTGACATTCTCCTATGAATTTCAACTGGTTTGCACCCTTCAGCAACCAAAAACTTGATAACTGACCGCTGTTCAATCCTGGAGCATGCTTCTTGGTCGGCCATCTTTGTTAATCGCCAAAACTCTCAAAGTTTTTGTTTAATCTGCAAAAGAAATTAAATCCATGTGAAAAAGAAGTAAAATTAAAAAAAAGTAAGCTTCTATCTGTATTAGAAGTCCTTATACCGAAAAATTCACCTTATTTATTGAATGACCCTTGTATATATAGTCAAGCCATTTTAGCTGTTGCTGCTGTTGAAAATCGTCAAATTTCTGTTATACGGCACAGTTCTATGTTTGTGAATCTGTAGTGCCAGTTCTCAATGTTCAAAGAAAGATTGTCTTCAATAAGACCCAAAGGGCTTCACACGCTCGAAGCCATTTTTAACCATTGATCTGAGAAAGCGATTTTATACAGCTGACAGTTTAGATACTCCTCAACGGGTTTGCCACCATGACATCCATATGAAAATCTTGATCTGGCGAGGCTATTTGAGAACGTGACACGAGTTTTCAGGTCAGTGTTTTGGTTCTATAGCAATTTGCAGTGTTGAGCGAAACTAACTCTAGCACATGCAGAAAAGACCGCGGTTTGATCCATTTCCCAAAATAGATATAGGGGCGGGGGTGAAACCCCTTTTTGATCAGGCCGAGAACTATTCAGTATACTTTTCAGCGAATGCAGATACTACTGTCTGATTTTGAGTAGTGGGTCGAAGAACGATAATTTGATTCTATGCAGTGCGCACACCAGTACGAATCAATACTAAAATAATCGTTATCTATCCTCCTTATCCTCATAATCTTTATTTAATACATAATCCTGTACTATTCATATCACACATCTCAAATTTTTTAACAGTAATCCTCTACACTGAGTGGCTTTCGAACCTTGTATTTATCGAGTTTTAGTACAAAAAGCCTTAATAAATATCATTGTCTCTATCATTTGCCAAAGATTTCTTCTCGAATTATCTGTCTATATTTCTGAGATGAGGTATTGTGTACATTATTTACATTATTCGGACTATTGTCATCATCTTTGTCGCCATATTTATTACAACGTTTCGGCGGATGTATGCTCCGGCCTTCTTCAGGTGATTGGAATGTCGAACTGAATCTTTTATTTCGCTCACTGTAGACTGTTCTAGTTCCACGTGCCATGTTTTAAATAGATGTCAGTTATCAGTTGTCTCCTGTTAATTTCCCTCTAAAAGTTCTCCACCGCCTTAACCGGGTATTGAACTCACACTCTTTGGGTCCTGTCACTGGATCTAACGTCTTTGTCCACTGTGTCCTGTGTCCTTGAGGACACATGGCACAGTGGATAAAATCTCTTCTCGCATTTCCCGCATGTGGAACTCTCTTCCAGCTTCTTGCTTTGTAATCAAGTTTGGTCTTCAAAAATTTAAATCCAGTGCCCATTGTAATGTTCTGTCTTCTTAATTCTTGTTGTTTGTTGTTATCTATCCTTAATAATGTTTTTTCTTTATCGCATATTCTGTCACACACTGTGTCCCCTTGTGCCATAGTGGCTTTATTGCCTTGCTTGGGGTGAAATGACCCGATGACAACTGTGCCTGTCTCTCTCTTCGTTAGTTCGAACGATCGTTACGTTCTGCCAATACCTCATAAATAACGGACTCTTCCGTTTGGGTCGCGTGGAAAGATTCTTTGAAAATATCAGAGAACTAATTGGTTTCAGTGAGCAAAAAAAAAAAAAAGAAAAAAAAGAAATAAAAAAAAAGAAAGAAAGAAAATAAATAATCTATAAGAAAGAAAGAAAGAAAGAAAGAAAGAAAAAATAAAGAAAAAGGGAAGATAGAATTTTTTCATGTCTTCTGCCAATGTCTTATAAATAATGAATTATTCGTTTTGATCGCATGGAAAGACGGAAAAAACATATCAGAGACCTAAAACTTGGTTTCAGTGAGAAAATGAGATCAGAGACAGAAAGAAAGAAAAAAAAAAAGAAAGAAAGAAAGAAAGAAAGAAAGCGCCGATAACACTTCCATGTGTTAAAGAAAATCGTTAGAAAACTACTCCTGTTATATATTTAAAGATTCTTGATAAAACACAAAGAAGTATCTGCAATGTTATTAGTCCTAACCTGGCATCTCGGCTTCAGTCACTTTCCCGCCACCATAACGTACTGTCCCTGGGTCTTTTCTATAAATATTTTCATGGTAATTGTTCTGATGAACTCTACGGTAATTACACTTTATGAATTTAAGTAGATTGATAACAAGGTCGCCTCATTTTACAGTTCAAATGGTGAGATGCAACCGTAAGTTCTATGCTAACAGATTCTTCTCCCGCACTTCTCGGTTGTGAAACTCTCTTCCGGCCTCTTGCTTTCTAGTCAACTTTGATCTTCAAAAATTTAAATGTAATTTCAATCGTTATCCAGGTCTTCTTCATTTCTCTTCTTTTATTTTTCTCGCTCCTTACTGTTTTCTTTTTCTTATTCTTTCACGGCAGGTAATTCCTTGTGTCTTAGTGGCTTTATTGCCTTACTTGGAGTGAAATGATAATATTCAACTAAGGAAAGTATCGTTGAAATTGACTCGATGAATCATGACAGCAGTTGACTCCTAAAACAAGTCAAAATAGTTGCATGGGGGAATGCCCAAAGGGGACTAAAGTATTTTGTACTACACTTTAAACCTGAGAGAGTTCTGGCATGGTCAAAGTAGTATATATTCCACACTCATCGAACAAATGTTCTTTCAATATTCTTTCTCGACCAAAATGTTTTTCTTTTTTTTTTTCTCATATTCTTTCTCACACAGTAAGCCTCTACGTCTTAGTGGCTTTATTACCTTACTTTGGTGGTGGGGATTAAAATGATGAAAAAAAACTTTATAAATCTACGTGTAACTTAATTTCATGGCCTTCCTACTTACCTTTCTCGCGACATCTCAGAATTTCTGTATCATTACCAATGTCGTTTTATCATCTTTCCCTTCGCGAAAACGATTATTTAGAGAGTTATTTTTTGACTTCATTTTAAGAGAATACATTTCACCAAACAAGCTTCATCGGTTTTTGGTCATAAAATCTTTTTGATTTAACTAAGATATTTCCTCTTTATCTGACCTTTCACCAAATCATAGAATTGTTAACGCAAATTTGCCAAAATTTGTTTGGTTTGGTTTGGTTTACGGCAGATCAACCCTAATAAGTTATTTAATGCCGACAACATTATTTTTATTGCTGGCAATATCTTTTTTTTCAAAAAGTATTTTTGGTAATATTTTTTTCCAAAAATGTATTGCTGGTACTAATTTTTTTTCTCAAAAATTAACTGATGGTAATAATGTTTTTCTTCAAAACTCCATTGTTGGTATTAATTTTTTACAAAAATATTTTGCTGCTATTAAAATCTATTTTACGCATTTTGGCCCCACTTTGGGGTTTCACTAACTTCCCATAGCTGGTCCCCCCTAACAGGTGCTACCACTCCGGGTCAGGAACATTAACAATTAAGAGGTGGTTCCACGCTCCTCAAACATTCTAATCAGAGGCATTGCTGTCGGATGTAGCTTATCGTCTTACCCAGGACGACCAAAATTTGTGCAACTTCGATAAACTATCCAACTACCCAATTTTAAAAATTTTTTTTTTTTTACAATTTTGTGAATAAGCAAAAAAAGAAAAAATTAAAAACTAAGAAAAAAATAAAAATAAGCAAAAAAATGAAAATTACCATCCGAAATTTAAATTAACCAAAAAATTAATGAAATAAACAAAAAACAAAAAATCCGAAAGATAATAATTGTTTAAAAATATACGAAAATAAAAGTAAGCAAAGAAAATAACTATAAGCAAAAAAATAAGCAAAATGTAAAAGCAAAAAAAAGAAATATTTGGGTTTCTAAAAAATTTTGCTTATTTTATATTTTTTGCTTCTTTTTATTTTTTTATTACTTATTTAAAAAACAAACTTTTGCTTATTTTTTAAAAAAATTAAATTAAAAACAAATTAAAAATAAGCAAAAAAAATAATAATAATAAGTAAGAAAAAGCCAAGAAAAAGAATAAAAAAGTAAGATTCACAGAGGAAATAAACAGACTACACATAGTTTCTGCGGGGAAAAAATTCTTTATTTTTCTATTAATCAATTTTGTCTTTCATTTATTTTAATCTCCTGTCTGTCAGTCGTTACCCGAAGAGCGCCATCTTGTTTCTTTTCATCAATAAAAACCTATTTAAAATATTGTTATCTTTTTTTCTTCTTCGTCGCTTTCTTGACTATGGAGCGTATTTATTCTGGTCTTCCTTCATTGTTATCATCCGAAAGTGGCGAGAAGGACAAGCCGCTTATGCTGCGATCGGAGACAGGCAACTGCTGTTGTTGTTTCGAACAGAACGTCGAGTTCGAAGACGCCGCTCGTACAAGCGTTGGCTCAACTCGGCTGAATAGTCTCCCAGAAGAAATCGAAGAGAGAAAAGATTGGAAGTGGCTGAAAATGTTTATCTGAGAACGAGTGTAACTGGTCACGTGTTGAGGGCGGAAGATCAACTCCATTCGGCTTCTTTCGCTTTCATTCAAAAAGAAGTTGTGACAAATGTTTTTTTGTCCAGCATGTTTTTTCTTCAGTAAACCCTCCAAATCTCTCTTTTACTCGCTCCCATAAAAATCTAACGAATACACTTACTTTATCTATCTATCTATTCTATCTATCTATCTATCTATCTATCTATCTATCTATCTATCCCTTTTTTTTCAAATTTATTGACTTATTTTTTTCTGCATCTCTCTATTATCTATCTATCTATCTATCTATCTTACACTTCTTATGAATTTTCTTTTTAGACTATGCATTCTATTTATCCATCTATCTATCTTCTTTCTATCCCTTTCCTCTCTCTATTTCCTATCTATCTATCTATCTATCTATCTATCTATCTATCTATCTATCTTACACTTCACTGTCTTTCCCATACACATACACTTACATTCTCTCTCTCTTTCCCTCTCTATCTATCTATCTATCTATCTATCTATCTATTTATCTATCTATCCAAAATATTCATTTTCTCTTTCTTTCTTTCTTTTACATTCTCTCTCTCTCTCTCTTTGTATCTATATATAATCTATCTCTATATCTATCTATACTTCTTTCTCTCTCTCTCTCTTACGCATTCCTTTTCTTTCTCTCACGCACATATAGATTTACGTTTTTTCTCTCTCTCTCTCTCTCTCTCTCTCTCTTATACTCCTTCCCTTTCTTTCACGCACACACACTTTATATGTATCTATCTTTTTCTCACACACACATACTCTGACTCACTCCTTTTCTCCCTCTTACGCACACATACACTTACTTTCTTTCTCCCTCCCTCTCTCTCTCTATATATATATATAACTTACTCCCTCTCACATATGAACACACTTACTCTTTTTCTCTCTTACTCCCTCTCTTTCTTTTTCCCACTTTTACATACATCTAATTTCTCTAATAATCTCTTTATTTTTTCGTATACCCTAAATTTTCTTATCGCGAGCTTTCTCTTTTTCTCATTTTTGCAATTTTATTTGATTCATATATCTTTCTTTCTCTTCTAATTTGCTTTAATCTCCTCTCTATACCTCCCTCTCCCTTTCCCTCCCTTTCTCTATTTCATTCTCTCTCTCTCTCTTTCAGTCTTTCCCTACTGACCAAATATCCTTCTAATTTTTCCCCCCTCCTTCTTAGATATTCATTCTTTTAAAAATTCTCCTTCATTAAATTCATTTTTTCTTTCTATCTAACGAACTGAGTTTCTAACTTATTCTGTTCCTCTTCCCCTTTCCTCTCTTCACACACACACACACACACACACACACATACACGCTGACTCATTCCTTTACTTTCTCTCACGCACACATACACTTAAAAAAATCTATCTCTCTCTCACACTTCTTCTCTTTATATCTATCTATCTATCTCCCTTTTTTCTCACACGCGCATACTCTGACTCACTGGTTCTTTCTTTCTCACGGACATAAATATTTTTCTCTCTCTCTTATTTCTATATATATATATTATGTTTCTTCTCCTTTTTTCAATCTCACATCACAAACACACACACACACACATATAAATATATATATATATATATAGGTTGGGAATCAATTATCCGATATCAATTGAACCGGAATCACGTCGGATTTCAGATTTTTTCCGGATTTTGGAATACAGGCTATTTAATTTGTATATAGTATCTTACTCATTATAAAACACAGATTGTGTGTGTGTGTGTTGTTTGTGTGTGTGTGTGTGTGTACGTTTATATATTGGATCGGATTTCCTGCATTTTTCAACCGATTTCAACAAAACTTCACAGGACTACGTAAAATTAACTTGCGGTGGTTCCGACAGCGCCAAAAATCGGAAAAACACAATTGTTTATGCACGAAATCAATTTGAAAACACGATTAAGAGGCATCGCCAGAATGAAAGGGGGACAACTCATATCGAGTTATATTTATGATAAAACCCGGGTTGTTTGTTTGTGTGTGTGTGTGTGTGTGTGTGTTCGTTTATATATGAGATCGGATTTCCTACATTTTTCAACCGATTTCAACAAAACTTCACTTTTTTGGGGCAGGTAGTGTTTCTTATTGTCTTGCACACTTTTTTTCTTTATTTTTACATTCAGAATGCTTTAAAAATTCCATTTACAAGACAATTGTTTATAATAAAATTCTATTCAATCGATAGTCTCATAACGATTTAAAACAATGTTTTTATTTGAGTTTGGGTTTGACCAATTCGTGTAAAAGAAACAACAACAAAAAACTAATTAAGACATGCGTGTCCTTCAACCTTAAACAATAATCTTTGTCAATTTTATTTTTCAGTCTTTATGATGGTTGATACTTGATCTATCTCTTACTGTTACATCCCCGAGCAAAGCTGGGCTCTACTGCTAGTCTATAATATGGGGAAGCTTCGGAATGGAGCCCAAGTATGAATAAAATATCACATGTCATACAACAGCTTATACATATACCTTGAGGGCAGTATTTTTTTTTATAAACACATATAACCTGAAAGTAGTTTTATATCAAATTTAATAAATTTTGTGTATATACACATACAGGTAATGTAGTCATGTAAATCTCACACGAATTATAAGTGGTGAAATTGTGATTTAACGTAAAAATAATGTTTTTTTACTTGTACGTGTACAAAAACGAAAAGCAAAGCTCGAATTACTGCTTTTAAACACACACCTTCGCCAATCTTTCTCGATCTGTCACATCTGGTCTGATTTTGTATCCTAACTTAAACAATGACATCGTGGGAAATTAATTAAATCCGTTATTTTTTATAGATAAATTTATTCGCTTAACCGGAAGTTCTATGTTGCTTAACGGTCATAGCACGCCGGGCTTAATGGCGGTTGCTCATGGATGCAGGTTCGATCCCTGTCGGATGACATTCAGGCCGATAAATGTAATTAATACTGTTTAATTAAAAGGACGGAGCATTTACGCAAATAAGTGTATCCATAAAAAATAACGTATAAACAGAAATTATATATATATATATATATACTAGCAGCATGGCCCGGCATTGCCTGTGCTTGATTCAAAAATCGTACGACTCATACAGCAATCGCTATCACTTGACTTAAAATATTTTTGCCCTTCCTTGCCTTTAAAGGAGTGTCCTTTGCCATGCTGATGTTGCTACATGCCTTACTTCTTGCCTATCTCACACTGCGAATTTTTTCTAAGCTCTATACTAAACATTTAATCTGTTACGAACAAAGAACTAAACAAAATGAACACAAAACGATCAGCTTTAAAAAAAAGGACTCGTAACTGGAAAAACCGAATGAAAAAAGAATTTTAACAATAAATACTTTTTTCACACCCAACCCAGTTCTGCGGAATCAGAATCAACGTTGAGTTTAAGCAAGCAATGAGCCAATTGGAGTAAAAAGTGCCATGCAGATTTAAATTTTTCCCATTTTTTGCATGCTCGATTTTTTTTTCGTGTCATGCTAGTTAACATTCGTGTCAGTCAGCTGTTGGCTCTCACGCTGGCCAATAGAATCTTCCTGCCTATTCGTGGCAGCCAGCTATTGGCTCTCACTCTGGCCAGTATAAAATGGCCGTTAACTACATGAAAACTGCCGTAGAAGCAAGAAAAAATCGATTATTTCCACTATCGATGGGAGTTGGGAAATGCAAAGTCGGTCTTGGCCTTTCCACTAGCTTGTAGCATGTGCATGTAAATTTTGGTGCAAATCCGTCGAAAATTGCGGCCGTGCATTCGTTACACACACACACACACACACACACATTCTGCCTTTTATATATAGAGATTTGTCGGATTTAAACCATTTGCTATTTCTCCAGTTTTCGAAACCTTCATATCTTCTCAGTTTCGTCTCCGAACGTAAACAAAGCAATTTCTAAAGAAGTGATGGATTTTTTAATATATTAACCCGACAGATTTTTATCACTTTAAACGCTATTTTTCGTGGATACTCATATTCGAGTAGACGCTCCGTTTATTTATTATGCAGTAGATTTATGCAGTAGGAGTCAAACTCGCGTTTCCCACCACTGGGTAGAGTTATACCGTCATTAGATCTGACGCGCCTTCACCGACTCGGCCACGGCGAAGCTTTGCCGATCAAGCAATCATCTGAACCGTTTTTTAAAAACAAAATCCTTGCCGTCAGAGATTCCTTTCATTATGCCTTTCAAAAAAATTCCAAACGGAACGTGCTTTTTTTTTTCTTTAATAAATTTCTCGAATATTCAGAAATATCTAAACTGTTTAATACAGGCTGCCGATTTCTAAGATTTACGGTTAAAAATGGCTTTGAGCGGGTAAAGCCTGTGGCTCTTGGCGAAGACAACAATTCTTCGAGCCTTGTGAACTGGCGCGGAAGAAACAAGAACAAAGAAATGTAACAAATAACAGAAAACTCATCACTTCAGGATTATCAACAGCATCAACAGCTCGGTGTGAAAATAATGACATAATCAAAATGTTGACATCTCTAGGAACGTTGTCATTTAAGGCTCATTTATATATATATATATATATATATATATATATAATATATATATATATATATATATTTATATTTTTATATTTATATTTACATAAACTCTATCAATGATATTGAGCACGTTATCCCATAAATATATTTCACCTTTAAACTACATTTCTTCATTCATACATACATATATATATATATATATATATATATATATATATATATATATATATATAATAAAAAAGTGAACATTGAAGTCAACACTCAGAGGCGACAATTTGTTTCATGATTTATCAATACTGGAAAGGCCAAAAGCAGATACGAGACTTTGAAATCTGTTTTTGTGAGAAATTGTTTTGAGGAAAAGATTTTATAAATTTCAACATACAGCTTTATTGACTTTTAGGGTAATTAATGTCAAAGGTTTTCTCATAAAACGGCTAATATCATTGATATATTATAGGGGTGTAACAACATTACCATATATTATACCGGGTGTAACAACAAAATTGTCCAAAGTCTGTCTATATTTCTGAGGTGAGGTATTTTAAAACAGTATTTACATTAGTCCTTGATTGTATTGTCCTCCTTTAATTTTCGATAAATGTTTGTTTGTTTCGGCCGTTGTACGCTTTGCCTTCTTCAGGTAGTTGGAATTTCGAACTGAACCTGTCAAAGGATCTAACCAACGCCAAAGAGTAAGTTCAATGTTATTAAAGTTAAAAGGTAATTGGAAAAAAAAATTAACAGAAGATGACTGTGAGCGAAATATAGTGTTCAGTTCGAAATTCCAACCACCTGAAGAAGGCCGGAGCGTACAACGGCCGAAACGGTGTGACAAATATGGCGACAAAGATGAGGACAATAGTCCTACTAATGTAAATACTGTAAAATTGTCCAAATCCTGTAACAGCATGCGATAATTGGCCATGCCGCAAAATATTTAATATCTAAAACAAAAACTAAGCTAATTGAATTTCGTTTTTCCAGGTTTTCAGATTAGACGTTTAGCCATCTTGACACCATTTTTGTAAGAATAACTGAAAAACCTTTTGAGTTTTTCAACTAGAAATAGACTAGATTATAAAATCGTTTTGTGCCAACCCCACTATGTCTTTCCAACTGAGCAATGTCTAGAGGAAAAAGATCATTCAGGCCTTCAGTAATTATCATATATGACATAAATGAATGGAATTGTCTGTTTATGTAAATAAACAGAGTTAAGCGGAGTTGAAGAGAGTTAGCCTTAGGTCAATTGCTAAGTGTACCTTCGTGTAGTAAACCTTCTATTTCATTACATACAAGTTTGTCTTCCTTCTTTATTTCCCTTTGTTGTCTCGAAAAGACGAGATACAACAGTAATGGTACCAACATTCATATTCTGGCTTCCATTTTCAAAGTCTATTCAAGAACCATCAAGAGAACGATGAATAAGTTTTAAAAAAAAAGAGGGAACAGTAGAGACGAAAGAGGGATCATCATTTCAGCTCAGAGCTAAATACATTCTTGTTATTCAAAGTAGCGTCCAATAGTGTTATAAAAACCTCGGAGAATTCCAGT